CAGAACTCTGGTCCAAACAAAAGATTCCCAGAACAGACGACAGAGCTTCTCCTCTGCTTGCAGAGGACATTTTTAAAATTATTAATCCTTCAAAATGGGAAAAAAAAAAAAACATTTTCAAACAAGTGTGTTTTTTTTTTTCTGCTACGTTGACGGGCAAAATGCCAACATGAGTCCGACTGGGACGGTTTCTTAAAAACTCAGCTTCCTGAAGGGTCTCTGCTCTCCGGTTTTACTGCCTCCACCTGAATCAGAGTGTTTGGTACCAGCAGTGAAAACGACGGCAGGAACAAACTGAAGCTGAACATCTAGATGTCATGAACGTGTAGGAGGGAAAAAAAGGACTTTGGGGTATTTTTGCACTCAAACGTCTGCAGGTTTATTTTAAGGCACCGAGTCAACAGTTCAGTCTTAAAATGGGTCAGTCAGTAAAACAACACTTCACGGGCAGCCTCATAAACTGAGTGTTAAAGGTGAAGCAGCCCAAACCTGCATCGTCTGTAATGGCCAGCAGGGCGGCGACTCCTCTGCAGACGTCGTCCTGACGGGTTCATGGTCTCCACTTGAAGTGTTATTCTCTGAATGAAACCTGATGTTTAGTAAACGATGGATCCATTCAGAGGCAGACAGACGATGAAGCAGAGTGGGTTTGAGGGCGGGGATTCCTTCTGATTCGCCGAGATGTCGGTCCATTCAGAGCGTCCGTCTCAACCGTCTGAAGGAAACGTTGTGTGAATGTTTGCAGAGAAACGCTCACCGTCTCCCCGTGTGTCCTCCTCAGTCCTCCGTCAGAGAGCCAGAAGGACGAGTTCAGCCGCCTCCAGAGGAGAATCCAGCCGATGGACGCCGGTAAGCGTCACACTGAGCGGGCCGGACCTGTGTGCTGATTGGCTGCTGTGTGCTGTATGTTGTGTTTGACCAACGTTTCCTCTCTCAGCTGCTTTGGTTCTGTCCGGTGCCGACTATGTGACCGGGTCCAACCTGCCGAGCCACTCGGACTTGCAGCTGTCCTGCTTCACCGGACAGAGGATACAGGTGTGTGGTTCTGGGTGGTTGGTGCTGAGGCGTGGGAGCAGCCTTGGTCACGGTTCTGTCTCTGTGTTTCTGACCGTGTAGGGTCCAGTGTTCCTGCTGGAGGACAGCAAGTCGGCCATCTCCCTCAACGACGCTTTGATGTGGGCCAAAGTGAACCCGTTCTCTCCGCTGGGAACCGGACTTCGCATCAACCCGTTCTAACATGAAAACTGGGCTTGGGCTCCAGACCGAGTGGCCAACTGGGTTCTCAGACACGCTCGTAGGTTTTGTAGGTTTTGATATCGGTGACTGTAGCGATGAGAACGTAGCCGACACGTCGTCATGCTTCATCTGTGGACAGACTGGATCTTATCGGACCGGACCGTTGGTAAGAACTCCCTCTTATCTCCAGCCAACGGTTCCCCAAAGTATGAGCATGTATATACACAGGGTATAAATCTATCGCTGTAAAAACAGAACGCTGGAATAAAGCAAACGCTGGATATTTATGGGACTCGACCCGTTTCTTCATAACGACACAGTGTTGAACCAGGACCGGTTTAGTTTGGCTTTTAAGACAAGAACTTACCAAAAAACTAACTTTTATGTCAAAGCGAGACCAGGTTTCCACAAAGTAAGGCCTAAAATGTTAAATAAGTGACTGCATCAGAAGTCCCACAGTCAGTAAACGCATCATGTGAGGTCAGTGAATGTGTCTCAGTGGTTGTAGTTTAAAGACTGGTTTATGTGGGAGGTCCAGTCCCTGGTGGATCAGAACTCCTGGATGGAACTACACCATGAAGACTGAAGAACCCTCCAGGAACTCTGGGAGAAGGTTGTTGAGAAGCATCAGTCAGGAGATGATACCAGAACATCTCCAAGTTCCTGAACATCTCTGGAGTCCAGTTAGATCCATCCTTAAGACATGGAAGGAACATGGAGCATGAGTAGATCTGACTAGAGCAGGACGTCCTCAGAGACTGAGCAAGAAGGAGACTAGAGAAGGAGGCCACCAAGACTCCTATGACTCCTCTGAAGGAGGTACTAGAAGGAGACTAGTGAGGGATGCAGTCTGCAGGAGAACTGAGACCTGGAGAAGAGCCGAAGCAAACAACCAAAGCTCCACAGAGATGGTTTCACTACAGGCAGCTGATGACTTACTGACCTGGTGAACAGCATGCGGTTGGACTCCGGGTCCCAGACCAGCACTTACAAGGTTCTAAACCTGGAACACAAACAGAACAGAGACTAGTTTAGTTGAAGTGTTGTGTGGGATCCAAAGCCAAACATGTCGGCAGAACGTTGAGAGTTTCACGTGTTTTCAGAGCAGAACTTCTGCATTTTCCCTCTGAGAAGCTTCTCACCTGAGCAGAGTTCAGCGTCTCCAGGAACAGAACTCCTGCAGCCTCGACGGCGCCGATCATCGGCCTGCAGGGTCCGGCTACACTCAGCAGCCGCCATCCGTCTTTGTTTTCTGTTTCTGTTACATCAGCGGTGAGATATCTGAACGATCACTGACCAGCTCACATGAACTACGATGCAAAAGTTCTGAGCCCAGTTTCCATCTGACACCAGGACCAGCTTCTAGCCGCTTCACAGACAGCCATGGTGGAGAAACGTAAGATTTACTGAGTGGATTAAAACCCTGATGAGTCCGGCAGCGTTGAAACGTGTTGGCAGCAGAACAGAACCAACAGACAGAACCAGAACTGAACTCTGTCACAGCAGAATCTAAACGTTCATGTTTGTGCGTTTCAGCCACAACATGCATTCAGCAGAGTTACAACACGATCATATCAGAAACTAGAGGTGTGTGGGAACCAGTCGCCACCAGGAGTCAGACGGAGCCTCCTCGTGTGGCCCAGTCAGAACAGAACCATCCAGTGAATACGTCCCAGATCAAACAAACTCTCAGTATTTATTTAAATTTGTACACAAAGCACATAAATCAGCTGTAGAACAACATTTCAGACGTGTCACCGTGACGGCTCCGTCCACGGACCTGCCGAGCAGCAGTCGGACAGAATCATTAAATAGTGAATCAATGCAGTTCTGAGCGACCTCGTGGCGGCCCAGCAGAGTCCAGCTCAGGCCGACATGGGCTCGTAGGTGTGGAAGTGGATTCCTTTGGAGCAGGTGATCTTCATGACGGCTCCGTTCAGGCTGGAGTCTCCGATCAGCCTCATCATGCCCTCGGCGATCAGCGACGGCCTGCCGACACAACGCAGCGTTACTCCCCGTCCAGAACCGGTACCGTCAAACATACCGACGTTCTACCTGCAGCTCGTTTTCTCACAGTTTGTTAAATTAGAGATAAGATCTCATAAAATCACAGGAAAAGTTTCTACAGCTGAAGGAACAATGAAGAGACGTTCTCAAGGCAACATTCAGAACATCGTTGGAGAGATGTTAGCAAGGCGTCACATGACAGAACGTTCTTCATCAGACGTTCCTGTACCGTGATAAACTAACAGAGGTGGAACATTCTGCCTTTAGGGTTCTCAGGATGTTGTTGAGGGAACATACTGTAGAAACTGTAAACGTTCCCACAAAGTTCCCCAGTGGTACCAGACAGCAAAGGAGGAACGTTCTCAGTGTAACATTCAGTTTAGAACAAACTGTCCAGCTGTCGACTAAACCAAACCCTCAGAACCTCGTTTCAACCCGTTCATAAATCAACGTCACGTGGAACCGACAGAACCCGCCACACTTTTGCAGACTTACTGTAGAACCCCGAACTTGCTCATGCTGAGCTTGAAGTCGTCCTTGAACTTGACGAACTTGCCCATGTTGTCCTCGTGCTCCACCGAGCGCAGCAGCGGCGTGTCGACGAAGGCCGGGCACAGGACGTTGATCCGCACGCCGTAGTCGCCCTGAGACGAGGCGTCCTGAAACCAAAACAGAGCGTTTACGCAACGTTCTGCACAGTGTCAAGTCTGGAGCTCTGTAACATGTACGTAACGGAGCCCCCTGGTGGCGGACGCAGGAAATGTCGGCAGAAATCAGATTTTATGGAACGTGTTCCTGAAGAGTCGCTAAGACGGGATCGATAATCAATGAGACGAGGGAGGAGGAGCCAGTTGATGAAACGTTCTCTGGACGTTCCACAGCTAGCACCAGTTAAACCAGCCGACCCACGTGTTTGTTGTAGTTTCCTGTCTTTGTTTTGTCACTTCGTCTCCTTTGTGTCACTTCCTGTCGTGTTTATTCTCATTTTCTGTCTCTTTTCTTTGAGTTTCATCTCATTTGTTCGTTTTGTCCTTTTGTGTCGCAGTTTGTTTGATTGTTGTGTTTCTCATTTCATCTCATTTGTGTCGTTTCGACTCTTTTACAGTCATTTCGTGTCTTAGTTTCGGTGTTCTGGCTCATTTTGTGGTTCATTTTTTGTAGTTTTGTTTCGTTTTTCCTCATTTTATTCATTTTCTGTGTCTTTCTGACAGTTTTATCTCATTTGTTGTGTTCTGTGTCTCTTTGTGTCTCTTTGTTTCTTGTTTATTCTCATTTTCTGTCTATTTTCTGTATTTTAGTCTCTTTGCTTTATCTCATTTGTTCGTTTTGTCCTTCTGTGTCTCAGTTTTGTCTGTTTAACTCATTTGCGTCGTTTCGTCTCGTTTTGTGTCTCATATCTTTTGTGTATCTTGTTTTTGTCGTTTTGTTTTCTTTCTGACGGTTTTATTTCATTTGTTGACTTTTGTTTGTGTCATTTTCGTCTTTTTGTGTCTCATTTTGTCTCGTTTTCCATCTCCTGTGGTTCGGAGTCATTCTGTGTCTCAGCTTTGTCGCCGTTCTTTAACTTTATTTCCTGTCCGTTGCTGACGCCCTGGTCTCTGAGGCCATGGAGGACATTCTCTTCTATTCGATGTGCTGTCGCTGTGCGGGTTGTGCCTCTGCTGAATCTTACCGCCATGGCCCTGGTGAAGCCGATGACTCCGTGTTTGGTGGCGGTGTAGACCGGCTGGTGGGGGGAGTGCAGGAAGGCTGCAACACACAGCGACAGCGACTTAACAGAGAAACACTGTCAGGTTTAGTCCATCATACACAAACCACCAGAGGCTCCGACAGACTGTAGAACTTTTTAAGAGCGATTTGCACCTTTTAACTCTCCATCATGTCGTATCTGCACACATGAAAGGTGGATTTTCATCATCTTTATTTTTATCTGTGAGCTCTGAGGTGTGAATTTTCCTGGCGAGAATCAACAGAACAGACGTTTAGCTGAGAGCTTTCCTGACTTTACTTCTATAAATCTTCTCCACTTCCTGCCCTGTGCTGCTTTTAATTTGTCTTTTAAACTCTCTGAATGATGAGAACATCATGTTTTCTACCAACAAAAGGCCAACGTGACTCCATTTATCAGCCAGAACGAGTAACAACAACAGAAAAAGAGTCGTTCTACTTTGAGTCCTTGAATCAATCAAATGTGCTGCAAAAACATCTAATCCTGATGTTTCCTCAAAATCACTTTATTCTACAGAACTCGTCCAAAAAGTTCACCAACGGCATCAACCAGGTTCTAGACAAGGACAAAACAATAAAAAATAAAATCTAAAACGGACTCAGCTGTGACCAAAACAGAAAAACTCTGAGACTTCAGGTTGAACTGCAGCCAGAGTTTCCTCTGAGAGACGGAGAAGAACATCCAACCTCCTGGATCAATGAATACATGCAGCATGGATCAGAACCAGAGACCAGAGGAGCCAGACGGTGGAGATACATTCATCTGGTGGTGGAACATCTTTCTACATCTGATGGTGGAACATCTTTCTACATCTGCGTGGAAAACCAAGAGTTCATAGAGGCTGGAACACTGCAGCACAGAGAGTCTTTTATATTTTGTGGTGTTTATAACATTAGTTGAATCCACTTGGTCCTCACCGCTACGTTGGCTGACGTCCGTACGTGGAGCTGTGTGCTGCTGGATGTTCTGGTGGACCAGCTGAGCCTCCACTGAGCTCACACGTGGGAACCAGGCGAGCTCGCTACGATAACATTAGCATTGTTGTCATTCCTGTAACAAACGGCGACGTGTCCAAACATGGACAAGAAAACTCTGCGTGTTTTTGTTTTCGGAGGGAAGAATGTGTGTTTCCTGTTATCTCCTTGGACGCCGTCTGCAGCTCGCGTCTTTAAACTCGCTGAGGAACGCTGCCTTCAGGCGTTTTCACGAGGAGTTCAGTAAAATCCTGAAAACTCACATCAGAGGCCAACTCTGTCATGTGCCCGTCGATTATCAGCTCGATCTTCAGAAGCAGCTTCTGGAGCGAGCGGAGGATCCGGCGCCGCGGGGCCGAAGCGATCCGAGTGCGATTCGAGGTCAAGAAAACACTGCAGCAGAGTTCCGTGTTCGCTTCACGGAGGGAGGGCAGCAAAATGTTAGCAGTGACATCATCAGGTTTAAACCTCTGGACCCCGAGCAGATCCTGGATCATGTTTCTCTGCTACATAAAGCGAGCTCGACTGGTTCCCACGTGTGAGCTCAGTGGAGGCTCAGCTGGTCCACCAGAACATCCAGCAGCACACAGCTCCACGTACGGACATCAGCCAACGTAGCGGTGAGGACCAAGTGGATTCAACTAATGTTATAAACACCACAAAATATAAAAGACTCTCTGTGCTGCAGTGTTCCAGCCTCTATGAACTCTTGGTTTTCCA